ACGTATGCACAACTACCACCACGCGAATTCAATATGTCCGTTCTCTTGGATGGGTTAAGGATATATGGTACCTAGATACGACACGCAGAAGAGTTCCAGAGTACGAATTTTGCAAAATAAAATTAATTAGCGAAAATTGAATGTTTTTCATTAGATAGTTTATGTTACGTGAGAGGCATACAAGAACAGGTACCTTGCTACAGCTAAGGTATTTCGAAATTATTCCATAGTAAGATAGTTTACGTCCTAATAACAGCTATGGTCATTTAAGGACGAGTCTGGTTTTGGTGGTGGAGGAAAGCCGGAATACCAGGAGAAAAACCAATGACATGCGGCACGTTCTTGACGACCCCAACCCCCTTTTTAGGCCTTGAAGCTGCTAACGCCTTGCTCACAGATATGCTGAAGACATATCGTTTTAACTAAAAATTCAAAAATAAATAAATGAGAAAGAAACAAAATAGAATATAGGAAAAATGGTATTACAATTTCAATGTATTTTGAAATAGCAGGAAAGAGGATTTAAATGAGATACAAATATATCTTTTAATTAGTATAATTTAAATACATGTATAATATATCTTATACGATTGAAATCTCGTTACTAAATGATATATCTTGTATAGAATGAGATTTCGTGGCATTCCTGATGGGGAGACTTCCTTTTCGACATTTTGTGGAAGTCTCGTTCTTATTAGATATGTCTATCGAAACGAGATTTCATATTTTATAAGATATATGATATACTAAATGAGCTTTCTTCTATTGATGTGCCGATTATATATCTTAAACAGAAAAACTTAAGAAATTAATGTTTTAGCAAATGTTGTTATGGTCCTATAACACACATTGTTATTGATGACAAACTTAATAAAGCCCGGTGGGTCTTTATGTAAGATAGGACCATACCAATATTTGCTAAAATGTTCATTATTTATATTTAAATTTTGATAGAGTAGTTTTGCTTTATTTAGTTATTCCGAACAGTTGATGAACAGCAAATTAAGTGTTGACAACAATGCAATTGATGACGTCACAAAAGAGATTGATGACGTTAAAATAGCAAATGTTGTTATAGTCTCACAACAACATTTACCTTCTCAAGGCATTGCAATGGAAGGATGCAGAGCAAATGTAAATATAGAAAATTAAGTGAGATATCATATAAGATATCTTATATGGCATAAAAGCTATCTCCTATACGACATTGCTCCTTGAATAAAGTTAAATTGGCTTGTCATATGGGGGCCGCAGTGGCCAAGTGGTTAAAAATTACGTGCGTGTGCATGTATTATTTTACAAGAAATTGTGCACGTGCACAGCTCTTCCAAACGCCTCCCCCTATTGTAAGTAGCGGCGGCGTCTTACAATCTGCAACCACTAGCCCTCCACCACTGGGTCACTTGTTCGAGGCCTACGTGGGGCAGTCGCCAGGTACTGGCCGTAGGTCAGTGTTTTTTCTTCTGGAACTCCGGTTTCCTCCACCAACAAAACCTGGCACGTCCTTAAATGACCATAGCTGCTTGGGACGTAAAACACAAACAAATCAAACCAAACCAAGCTTGTCATGTGATACAATTATATACCTGTACATTAAACACATACGAAGGCTGTGTTAATATAGCGATAGCGAGGCAATCCATGCGGAGAAATCATTATAATTACCACATAAATAATATAACTATAGCTCTGATCACGGAGGATGATGTCATGATCATATTCGTATTCAATATGTTAATTATTCATATTTTCCTGAATAATATATGCACCTTGCGTCAATTTTAATCAATGGTTACAGGGCACGTAGGTATAACAAAGCTCGTCGTGTTAATCGGCGTATAGCACAACAGATCGCCGTCCGCCTATACGTTATACCTTCGCCATCTTTTATCTCCGACTGTCATCGGCAGATCTAATCGACTCTTGTAAATGAAGCTAGAGTTAGCTATTTAGCTTCCTCTGGGGAGGGGTTGATGTGTGTGAAACCACGGATTTAGATAGCACCCCTCTAATCTAAATCCGTGGTTTAACATTTTGAAAAAGAAGAACCGAATTGAAATCGATAGCCACCAGCACTGGGGGTTCAAATTAGTGAGAAGGATGGGGGGGTCTGTGCCTGGTGGTATTAAAAGGAGAAAATGAATAAGCAACCAAAAGTATTTAACTGAACACCTGCCTGATTTTGCGTATGGTTCCCGAAAACCAGAAATCCTCCTTGTTTGAACCAATAAAAAAAAATCATATTACAATTACATTTACAGATAAATACATTTAGAAAAAATACACTCTGTGTAACCATGATTGTATCACGCGGCATCACGTGATCTCTGACGAGCGTTGTAGTCATGTACTTAACAGCTTTATAATTAACAGTATCAGCTCTTTGTTATGAACTACCAAGTTGAATTGTAGTCACCAGCTGGTAACTCATGAACTATAATACGTCAACATAGTGTTAATATATAGTGTCATCTACCTAGCTGTTGACTCCTACACTCTAATACGTCAACATAGTGTTAATATATAGTGTCATCTACCTAGCTGTTGACTCCTACACTGTAATACGTCAACATAGTGTTAATATATAGTGTCATCTACCTAGCTGTTGACTCCTACACTGTAATACGTCAACATAGTGTTAATATATAGTGTCATCTACCTAGCTGTTGACTCCTACACTGTAATACGTCAACATAGTGTTAATATATAGTGTCATCTACCTAGCTGTTGACTCCTACACTGTAATACGTCAACATAGTGTTAATATATAGTGTCATCTACCTAGCTGTTGACTCCTACACTGTAATACGTCAACATAGTGTTAATATATAGTGTCATCTACCTAGCTGTTGACTCCTACACTGTAATACGTCAACATAGTGTTAATATATAGTGTCATCTACCTAGCTGTTGACTCCTACACTGTAATACGTCAACATAGTGTTAATATATAGTGTCATCTACCTAGCTGTTGACTCCTACACTGTAATACGTCAACATAGTGTTAATATATAGTGTCATCTACCTAGCTGTTGACTCCTACACTGTAATACGTCAACATAGTGTTAATATATAGTGTCATCTACCTAGCTGTTGACTCCTACACTGTAATACGTCAACATAGTGTTAATATATAGTGTCATCTACCTAGCTGTTGACTCCTACACTGTAATACGTCAACATAGTGTTAATATATAGTGTCATCTACCTAGCTGTTGACTCCTACACTGTAATACGTCAACATAGTGTTAATATATAGTGTCATCTACCTAGCTGTTGACTCCTACACTGTAATACGTCAACATAGTGTTAATATATAGTGTCATCTACCTAGCTGTTGACTCCTACACTGTAATACGTCAACATAGTGTTAATATATAGTGTCATCTACCTAGCTGTTGACTCCTACACTGTAATACGTCAACATAGTGTTAATATATAGTGTCATCTACCTAGCTGTTGACTCCTACACTGTAATACGTCAACATAGTGTTAATATATAGTGTCATCTACCTAGCTGTTGACTCCTACACTGTAATACGTCAACATAGTGTTAATATATAGTGTCATCTACCTAGCTGTTGACTCCTACACTGTAATACGTCAACATAGTGTTAATATATAGTGTCATCTACCTAGCTGTTGACTCCTACACTGTAATACGTCAACATAGTGTTAATATATAGTGTCATCTACCTAGCTGTTGACTCCTACACTGTAATACGTCAACATAGTGTTAATATATAGTGTCATCTACCTAGCTGTTGACTCCTACACTGTAATACGTCAACATAGTGTTAATATATAGTGTCATCTACCTAGCTGTTGACTCCTACACTGTAATACGTCAACATAGTGTTAATATATAGTGTCATCTACCTAGCTGTTGACTCCTACACTGTAATACGTCAACATAGTGTTAATATATAGTGTCATAAAAGCGGGAAAAGATAACTATCACTAAAATTTCACACTGAAAAATACCAGGATATCACTTTTGTAACTTATTCGAAAGTAAATTGCTATCCTCTACCACGGAATCGGATAAGAACAATTTGCCTCAACATGTCATTGATGCCCCCACAGTTATAAAATTTGAAATTCTAATAGATGAACACTGGAAGAATAATTGTAATTATAATATCTGTGAACATTAATTTCACCTGTATTGTATTTTAACTGAAGTAGTATGATTGAATTTGTATTGTTTTGATATGGATACAGAGACTTGAAGTTGAGTCCATTACAATTCCTAATTAATCCTAGTAAATCCTAGCAAATCCTAGTAAAACCCTAATTAACCCGTGCTTCTAACATGTATATTCAAATATCTTTTACTCTTTCCCCAATCATCTTTATCTACGTTTTACTCCACCGAGACCAGAATGAGGAGGACAAAAGATATCCATATCTTCACGTTAATGATATTTTTTATCTGTTCCTCTTCTTTATTTCTGGATTAAAATGTACCCAACACTATTTCTTATTAAAAGTCCGTTTATACTATTTCAAATGTCCAATATCTTTCCGGCAACTTTCTTCATCGATTCAATCATTTAGTTATTAAAATATTATGGTTTCAAACTACATACATGAGCTGTCCCATTTTAGTACAAAAGGAGGTTATCTACTACAACTGTCAACTACAGATACAATTGTCAAAATATAGCAGGAAACGGCTAGAAGAATTGTTTTTAATTCGGTAAAAGTCGCATATATTGTATTAATTACAAAATATGCAATCAAAACCACGGACTTAGATAATCTAATTCCGTGATCAAAAATTACTATCTATAATATCTCAATAGATAAACATGTATCCGATCAAATAGATTAACTGATAAAATAAACCGTTAAAACGATAGGAAATGATCAATATTAATTTCACAAAATATTGTAGAAGTCCGAATAAATGTGCTAATATCGATGGCAGGTGCTCGCTGGAAGAGTTCCGAGGCTGCTCGACTGGGTTGTTACGCATGCGCTTCGCTACGAGAGAAACAAAATGGCGGCCACTAAGATGGCTGGAAAAGTCCCTGGTACAGGGGGTATAGTTAGAGTGGGTTACTATGAAATGGAACGAACAATTGGAAAAGGAAATTTTGCTGTTGTCAAATTGGCAACTCACATTGCCACAAAAACCAAGGTAGGTTGTTCTAGTGTTGACAAAATATATCAAATCAACATAAATTTTAGCTGGTTTCTCGATCCTCATCGAATCACGATGTTCGAAATCCTGATTTGTAAACATTGAAATTTAATTCGTTTATTGTTACTATGACAAATACTCGTGGATCGACAAAACTTAAATATTGCATGCGGTACATCGTTAACACCGATTATTATTACAGTGAATTAAAGAGGTATACCATTTGTAAATAAACATCAAATAGTGGGTAAATATTCTAAGTCGTTCAGTATAGTAAACAGGTAAATGCCATCATGCTGGCTGTTGTAGCAGCTGATGATAGCAAATGCCAATGTTTTGGTGAATTTTATGATATACCTTATATCATACTCTTTGATTTATGTGTGTTACTGACGCAATGAAGAACTGTCAAATCCGACAAACAGTACAATGAAGGAATTATATTTATATATATATATATGTGGCAAAATTCAATCATGGTTCCAGAAAGTGACTTCCACATCAAATTTTCAGAATGTGTTTTTTTGTGTTAAATTAAGCATTTCGTGAAGATTATGACATGAACATTTAAAAAAGGGTGGAGAACATAATTATTTCTATCGTTTACCAATATTTCGTACTCAAAATTGCAAATTTCACACGGTTGCAATGGTAACATTGTATTTCTTTGTCAGGTTATTTGTTCATTTATTTAGTTATTATTCTACAACAAGATACAAGAAACTTTATTTAACGTCGCATATATCAAACATAGAAACATTAGCACTGTAGCGCTATTTTTGCGGCAAACATGATAAAAAGCAAACAGAAAACAACAAATCAAGCTTTACACTATCACAGAAAGCTAGCACATAATCAGCGAGTAAAACATACAATAACATAGCAGCATATGAATAGATATTACAGGCACTAAATTTAAAGTACTATACTAAAAATGTTGTAAAGTGGTAATAGTGAAACACCTGCATATCACACAGGTGTTGCTATGATAGGAGGGTTAAAACACTTCAAGTGTAATGTACATACATGCTAATATAGCAAAAGAGTAAAATTTGACATAATATACACTAATATAGTGTAAATCAAAATAGGATGACAAGGTCTAGTAAGTAAAAGATATTGAGCTATAATGATGATTAGAAGAGAGGGCTAGAAACTATGCTGCCAGTTATTGGTATATAAAAGCGCCATACAAAGCAGAAGTTAAGCTAAATAGGTAGGTAAATAAATAATAGATAAATAAAGCAGGAAACTAGTAATAAAGATTAAAGTACTGAAAAAACATTAAAACTCTTGACACAGGTACAGATACGACATGAGCAAACGGGGCCATCCCAGGAGTGCAGCAGTCTGGATAACTATCCACCTTCTTCAAATGGTTTGGCAGACTGTTCCACACCCGGGCGGCCTTGTAGCGAAAAGACTTCAGTCCATACCTTGTTATTCTTACTCGTGGTAGCTCCAGCTACCTTTCATTCCTGAGGTTATAAAAAGATGATTTAATGGTTAAAAGATTACATAAATAATCCGGAGCTACATTGGTAATAATTTTAAAAACTTCACAAGCCATGGTTTTCATTCTGTTTAAATGAAGAAAAGATTTTGCTTTTTCTAAAAGTTCTAAAACTGGTGTTGTGTAGTCATCCTCAATAAAACGAATGGCTCTTTCTTGTATCTTCTCCATCTTCCTTGTGGAATTTAAACTGCAGAAATGCCATGCCAGGGGACAATAATTAAAATTTGAAAGAATAAAAGATTTAAAAATCAAAATTTTCCCCTGCTTGCTTAGATTGCAGCCAATCCGTTTTAAAACATATAACTGTTTGGATGCTTTCTTGCAAATGTTTGACATGAAAGTCAAACTTTAAGTTAAAATCAATGTCTACACCCAAAAGTTTAACAACATCTTCACATTTTATAACATGGTCTTTAACAGTATAGGAAGATATAATATTGTGAGTTTTCTTCCCAATGGATATAGCCTGAAATTTGTCAGGATTGGCCTTTATACCATTATCCTCGAACCATTTGATTAAAATAGTACTCTCCCCTTCGAGTGTATTCTTTAATTGAACAGGTTCTGAGTCAATATGCGACAGTGTGTTATCATCAGCATAGTTATAAAGCGTACCCTTATGAACAAAATAAAAGATGTCATTTATAAAAATATTAAAAATTAAAGGTCCTAAAATAGATCCCTGAGGTTCCCCCCTCTCCAACTGCTCCCAGTCAGAGACATTGGACCCCAGCCTAGTCCGCTGAAATCTGCCCCCGAGATAGCTACTGATGAGACCGACTGCAGCCTCGTTCAACCCATAAGCAGTCAGCTTCTTGAGCAGCAGCCCGTGAGGAATACAGTCGAAGGCCTTGGAGAGATCCATGAGGATAGCACCTACAAACTTGTTCTCATCCAAGGCCTTTGCCAATCCTCAAGGAGACGTAGCAGGGTAGACTGGCATCCATATCCCTTTCTGAAAGCAGCCAGAAAAGGATTAAATATATGATTAAAAAAGTTGGTTAATTGATCATGTAAAATTCTCTCGAAAATCTTTGAAGTAGATGGTAAAATACCGACAGGTCTGTAATTCTGTTTGTCAAGTGGATCCTTCTTTTTAAAAATTGGAACAACCTGTGCCAGCTTTAAATTATGAGGAAAATACTTGGTCTCAAGGCAATGATTAAATAAAGTGGCAAAGGTAGATAAAGGAAGAAGAACTTGCCTGAAGAACCTTAGCAGGAATACCATCAACACCTACAGACTTTTTACAATCAAGCTTACACATAATCTTTGCTACACAATCTGCATTGACTGGTTTAAAACTGTAGGACTTTTCCCCCTGTATATTATCTTTAATAGTGCAGATGCTACTGTGGGTTTCTAGAGTTTGGTTATCCAGGGTGTTTCCAATACCATCAGCAGCATGTACAAAGTAATCATTAAAAATATCACAAACCTCTTTCTGGTTTGAAATAATCTGATCATTTTCACAGAGGATTGTAGTAACACCGTTTGATTTTACTTTGTTAGATAGAAAAGGCTTCACTGTGTGCCAGAAATCCCTAGACTTGGCATCACCTGCACACCTCTCGAAAAAATATTTTCTGATAGACTGCCTCCGCAACTTAACCACCAAATTTCTGTTTCCGGTACTTAGCCCAGTTTACATTACTCCTACATAGTTTGTACTTATTGAATAACATTCGTTTTTTAAAAGCTGCTTTGCGGAGTTCACTGTTAAAATAACTTGGCTTGATGAGTTTGGGTTTTTTCCTCAACAATAGGTATATGGGCGTCCATCACCTCACGCAGTAAATACTCGTGTGCCCAATAAATATCATCCAAATCATGAAAGATAAAAGATACATGAAAAGGTGTAAAAGATAAATCACTGTTAAAAGAACTCTCATCGAAATTAATAATGTTATATTTACATGCATTCCTGTGTACTTTCCAAATGTGTCATTAAAACCAATATAATGTTTTCTCAAAAATGGAGATCTTAGTAACTAGTTAATTTGAGAAAAAATGCAAGGTTCAATAAGGACACGAAACTACTACGTAAAAAATGCACATATTTGATATCACATATTAACATAGAAATTATTCTATTTTGTAGTTATTTAAGTTATACACTTACATAAGTGTTAAACTAAGTTGATACATTTTGGTATATGTTGCGTATGTAACACGGACACCAAGTCTAATATTACGAACAAAACACAACTTATATTTCCGATTACCTCTTGATAATAGATTTCAGTTGCAATTGAGGTGGCTAAGAATATAAATTAATCCTCACAGCCAGTATACATAAAAGGGTTGAAGTGAAATTAATTTGATGAGGGTATGGACCATGTTTAATATTCGTTCGTAACAAAAACAGGAGAAAGAGCGTGTCCTGTCACGATCATAACACAACTGTAAATTTATAGGTAGCCAGTTTTATGTTGTGCTTAACAAGTATGCCACAGGTTTCATCAATTCACGAAAGAAAGTAATTTTGATAGGTTTAGATCGCAAATCATGGTGTTCACCATGCGGTAAGATAATATTCGTTCGTTGCTGAAAGACACCCTGTCTAAAATTAGTTACGATCATCACAAATTTATCGCCAGGAGACATCAAAAGCGGATGTCATTTAAAATATCAATACAAACGAACAGTGTCATACATTTTCTTGCTATATTCGTGTTAGATAGCAAAAACTGTTCACTTCAAATCAGGAGAAAAATGGCCTAACATTTTAAAATGTACATCCCGTCACGGACGTCACATATCACCGCTGGACAGGACACGGTTGTCATTCAAGCCAGTACGCAAAATATCAAACAAGTGCGCATGGTCTATAACATGCCAGAGGAAGATACCCACTGCAGGCGCCATCTAGGTCGATCTATATTTAGATTTTAGGTTTCCCTGTTACTTTTCTTGAGACACGTTTTGTTCCTAGCAGTTTGAACGACAATCGGGTTGCCGATGTTCATTGCATGATTGTCTGTAAGTTTAACAAAATGTACAGGAAGAGAATGCATCCTTCTTTCTTTTTTAGTGATTATCATGCAATTCGTGTAAATTTCCGTATGAAACTATCATTAGTTTACATGAAAAAGATTTATCAGAATGTGAACAGGAAAAGGGACACAGGAGTTACGATTGAAACGACTTCCTTCAATGTCATATTTTTCTTCATTCTGTGCGAGTATGTATGATTTTATTACTCTTGTACATGCATTGATATCTTTTCTTTACATTGTATTATCCCCGTTATAACAATAGGACACTCTGTGATTTATACAAAGGTCTTTTTCAATGCCTCACTTCAATGTCACAATTCGAAGTGAAAAAACATGCTGATTTCTTTTTTTCTTTTTCTTCTTTTTTGGAACTTTATCAAACATTATCTGTTTTTATTTCTTTGAGACATATTTAAAACAACGAAAGTGTGAAATTTCACAAGTTAATTCAAAATAAGTGGCAAAGTCCGAAATAACAGAGGTACCCTCATTTGAACCACGACTGAATTTTGCCTCATATACATTAGTGTATCTGTTTTTACACAAGGGTATAGCCCCGTCTGTCAATACACCCATACTATAAACAAGGTTACTAACTCCATCCCCCTAGTAAAATGACCTGCGCAGAGTACTCGAAAGAGGGCATTGCAGTCTTCACAGATAGATAGATAGTCCAGAAAACATGCGATTTTGTCATAACTGTTCATAATATCATGTCAGGAGCAGTCAAGATTGACAGGAAAATATTTTTCTTTAATTTGATGTATGGTTTACCATATATCCTGCACTAGATTTTGGTAGACTTCATGAAACATCGAAAAATGGTAGAATTTCAGTTGGGCGGACACTAGGTGTGCATGCTGTCCCCGGGAAAAGATGCCAAATTCTTACTGTAAAGTGCCAAACACAAGGCATACATGTATGCTATTCAATGTCAGTACAGTGTTTCTTCTATATAGGAAACAAACTAACTTGTATGATAGTCCATGCCCTAACACCCAAGTTCAGTTTTCAAGCTGGTCAGGCTGACGATCAGAAATCTTAAATGAGACAGCCACTTTCACGTTTGTGACCTCAATGCTGATTGGCTCGATCATCATATTTAGAAGCGAATCAGTGTCGATATTATATTAGTTTGCTGTACCAAATCAGCTTCCTTGTCACCGAGAGTCGTCATGGCAAAGTCCCAGCACACACCATTCACCTGTTTCGAAGTCTTTGCCCCTTAAGACAACACAATATGAGAACCCATGTATGGATATCCCCTTATCTATTGCACACCAATTATATGTGGAACAGGAAAAAGAGCAGTATGCTTCCATCAGATATCAAACCAGCAACCCCAGCTCCACAGTTCACCATCCTACTATATAGCTAGCTGCAATAACAACGTAGCTTCTGACAATGAGACAAGTTTTTAATAGGGGTTACGCTCACTTCATCCTCATTATCCAGGGGTTACGCTCACTTCATCCTCATTATCCAGGGGTTACGCTCACTTCATCCTCATTATCCAGGGGTTACGCTCACTTCATCCTCATTATCCAGGGGTTACGCTCACTTCATCCTCATTATCCAGGGGTTACGCTCACTTCATCCTCATTATCCAGGGGTTACGCTCACTTCATCCTCATTATCCAGGGGTTACGCTCACTTCATCCTCATTATCCAGGGGTTACGCTCACTTCATCCTCATTATCCAGGGGTTACGCTCACTTCATCCTCGATATCCAGGGATTACGCTCACTTCTTCCTCGATATCCAGGGGTTACGCTCACTTCATCCTCGATATCCAGGGATTACGCTCACTTCTTCCTCGATATCCAGGGATTACGCTCACTTCATCCTCGATATCCAGGGATTACGCTCACTTCTTCCTCGATATCCAGGGATTACGCTCACTTCATCCTCGATATCCAGGGATTACGCTCACTTCTTCCTCGATATCCAGGGATTACGCTCACTTCATCCTCGATATCCAGGGATTACGCTCACTTCTTCCTCGATATCCAGGGATTACGCTCACTTCATCCTCGATATCCAGGGATTACGCTCACTTCTTCCTCGATATCCAGGGATTACGCTCACTTCATCCTCGATATCCAGGGATTACGCTCACTTCATCCTCGATATCCAGGGATTACGCTCACTTCTTCCTCGATATCCAGGGATTACGCTCGCTTCATCCTCGATATCCAGGGATTACGCTCACTTCATCCTCGATATCCAGGGATTCACTCACTTCATCCTCGATATCCAGGGGTTACGCTCACTTCTTCCTCGATATCCAGGTGTTACGCTCACTTCATCCTTGATATCCAGGGGTTAAGCTCACTTCATCCTCATTATCCAGGGGTTAAGCTCACTTCATCCTCGATATCCAGGGGTTACGCTCACTTCATCCTCGATATCCAGGGATTACGCTCACTTCTTCCTCGATATCCAGGGGTTACGCTCACTTCTTCCTCGATATCCAGGTGTTACGCTCACTTCATCCTCGATATCCAGGGGTTACGCTCACTTCATCCTCGATATCCAGGGATTACGCTCACTTCTTCCTCGATATCCAGGTGTTACGCTCACTTCTTCCTCGATATCCAGGTGTTACGCTCACTTCATCCTCGATATCCAGGGATTACGCTCACTTCTTCCTCGATATCCAGGTGTTACGCTCACTTCTTCCTCGATATCCAGGTGTTACGCTCACTTCATCCTCGATATCCAGGGATTACGCTCACTTCTTCCTCGATATCCAGGTGTTACGCTCACTTCATCCTCGATATCCAGGGATTATGCTCACTTCTTCCTCGATATCCAGGTGTTACGCTCACTTCTTCCTCGATATCCAGGTTTTACGCTCACTTCATCCTCGATATCCAGGGATTACGCTCACTTCTTCCTCGATATCTAGGTGTTACGCTCACTTCATCCTCGATATCCAGGGATTACGCTCACTTCTTCCTCGATATCCAGGTGTTACGCTCACTTCATCCTCGATATCCAGGGGTTACGCTCACTTCATCCTCATTATCCAGGGGTTACGCTCACTTCATCCTCGGTATCCGGGGGTTACGCTCACTTCATCATTGCTTCTGACAATGAGACAAGTTTTTAATATATTGTGTCTTCCACGCTACAAATTGGTCCTAGAACGGCTAATGGATCAAAATCAAAAGTGTTCAAACTGATCCCCACTGCTTATCTAATTTACATCCTGTATAAAATTCAGTGTCTTCTTTCATTCACAAATGTTGAGTTTAAAATCTTGTAAAGCAATAATGACACATAGTACTGTATAAATACAAAGTTGATATACTAAGTTAGCATAATACAGTGACGAACACATGTAAGAATTAATTAATTAAATGAGCGATTATTTAATTATTTCAATTAATTCTTTTGGAGGCAGGATATAGTCTAGTGGTAGGATCATCTGATGCCAGGCTCGTGACCAAAGGGTTACGGGTTCGAGGCACGGAACTGTGTTGCATCTTTGAGCAAGATACTTTACTCCGCTTGTTCCAGTCTTCTCACCTGTAAATGAGTACCTGGTTGGGCAGTGCTTGAATTGTTGAATGCTTGCTGTGAGTGCTGAAATGGCAGCTCCGGCTGTATGCTCCCCAAGGAGTTGAGAATGATATTGGCTGGTTGCAAAGGCCCTATAACCACAGATAATAATTTGTGAGACGACCTATGAACTAGGTTGTGATAAAGCGGTATATAATAACCTTGAATTACTATTATTACTATTATTATTATTATACGACCGTCAAATTTGACGGTAGTATTATGGTATGGCGTTGTCCGGCCGGCCAGCGTAAACTTTGTTTGTCCGGCAATCTCCTGCTACATTTTTCGACCGTCAAATTTGAAACTTGGTATACATTATAATCATGATATGAAGTTGTGTCTCCCTTAAAAGAATTTTGATTCAACAATTTTTCCAACAGTTATTGCCCTTTGTTCATTTCAGTATTTGATTTTTCTCCGGCAATCTCCTCCTACATTTTTCAACGGATCTCTTTGAAACTTGGTATACTTTACAATCATCATATGAAGTTTTGTATCCCTTTAAAGAATTTTGATTCGACAACTTTTGCAAAATGTATTGCCTTTTGTTCATTTCATTATTTGATTTTTTTGTCCGAAGAATTTCTCCTATATTTGTCAGCTTACCACTCTTAGAATGATGCAGATCTTATTTCAATGTAAGAAATATATAACACTATATGCCATTCAACGGGCGTATATTGTTCCGCCCCACGGTACTCTTGTTTCCTATGACAATATATCGGGATATGTATTGTAATACCGTATATTCATACTGTATTACAATATATCGTGATACACTCTAGGCGTATTGCGACAACCCTAGTGTACTGTAGTGAAACAAATTGATGCTGGAGTATTTAGGCACATGGCGGGGCTGACTTGTCAGTATTCTACTTTTTTATGCCACCTCTTCCAACTCCATAAAAATGAAAACAACTTCTCATAATTCCCTCGAAAATTTCTTTAGTACTAAAATTAAAGCCTTCATTGTTTTGTGTTATTAGGTGGCGATCAAGATCATTGACAAGACACAACTTGATGAGGACAACCTCAACAAAATCTACAGAGAAATTGAAATAATGAAACTTCTAAAACATCCAAACATTATACGGCTTTACCAGGTAAGTGAAAATGTGTTTCAATCTAGCACATACCATATTATTAGTTATCTGTGGGTAAGGAGGGATCTACAGGCTCATAGACCCAGTCTGGTCTTTATAGACCCCCAGCCAAAGGCGAGGCTGCGAAAACATCATCCCCAGGTAATATCATGCTGTACCGTATGTAGTGATGGGAAATCACCTGCTCTTCATGATCATGTATTATTGGTTGATACTGTTTAACATTAGTCATTGCTATAGATATAGCATCCTCGATATCCAGGGGTTACGCTCACTTCATCCTTGATATCCAGAGGTTACGCTCCCTTCCTCCTCGATATCCAGGTGTTACGCTCACTTCATCCTTGATATCCAGAGGTTACGCTCACTTCATCCTTGATATCCAGGTGTTACGCTCACTTCGTCCCTGCAGGTAGGGCGTAAGAATTGTACCTGCTGCCCCCAATTGCATGATCGTAAGAGGCGACTCAATTTGGGACCTTATCTCTTCTCTCCTTTCTAAATAACTTTCTTCTTCCTAATGGCTCCCTTTACAATTCCTCACTTTTGGCCATTTGTTGAGCGTTCGCCCCTGTGAGGCAGGTTTTGGGTTCTGTCCCCTGGCCGAGACATACCAAAGTCTTTAAAAATGGTAGTTTCTACTCCTGCTTAACGCTCAGCAAATTAGGAGTGGGACGACTGGTTCGCCCGTTGTCAGTATAATGTGACCGGGTGGGGCGTCCTGCTGGGTGTCTTCGGCAGTATGTTTCAGTGAGGTAGCACTATAAAGTCGGCCTCAGTTCCGCGCTATCACAAGGAGACAAACACGAACATATCGCAGCCTCCCAAAATACACACACATACACTACACGCATGCATCTTGCACACAGGGGAGGCCGTCCTTAAATGACCTTAGCTGTTAATAGGACGTTAAACAAAATCAAACAAACCAACAAACAAACGCTCACTTCATCCTTGATATCCAGATGTTACGCTCACTTCATCCTTGATATCCTGAGGTTACGCTCACTTCGTCCTTGATATCCAGAGGTTACGCTCTCTTCATCCTCAATATCCAGGGGTTACACTCACTTCGTCCTTGATATCCAGAGGTTACGCTCTCTTCATCCTCAATATCCAGGGGTTACACTCACTTCATCCTTGATATCCAGAGGTTACGGTCACTTCTTCCTCGATATCCAGAGGTTACGCTGACTTCATCCTCGATATCCAGAGGTTAGGCTCACTTCATCCTTGATATCCAGGGGTTATGCTCACTTCATCCTTGATATCCAGGAGTTACGCTCACTTCATCTTTGATATCCAGAGGTTACGGTCACTTCATCCTTGATATCCAGAGGTTACGGTCACTTCATCCTTGATATCCAGAGGTTACGCCCACTTCGTCCTTGATATCCAGAGGTTACGCTCACTACATCCTTGATATCCAGAGGTTACGCTCACTTCGTCCTTGATATCCAGAGGTTACGCTCACTACATCCTTGATATCCAGAGGTTACGCTCACTTCTTCCTCGATATCCAGAGGTTACGCTGACTTCATCCTCGATATCCAGAGGTTAGGCTCACTTCATCCTTGATATCCAGAGGTTACGCTCACTTCATCCTCAATATCCAGGGGTTACACTCACTTCGTCCTTGATATCCAGAGGTTACGCTCACTTCATCCTTGATATCCAGGTGTTATGCTCACTTCATCCTTGATATCCAGGAGTTACGCTCACTTCATCTTTGATATCCAGAGGTTACGGTCACTTCTTCCTCGATATCCAGAGGTTACGCTGACTTCATCCTCGATATCCAGGGGTTACGCTCACTTTATCCTTGATATCCAGAGGTTACGCTCACTTCATCCTTGATATCCAGGGGTTAAGCTCACTTCATCCTCATTATCCAGGGGTAACGCTCACTTCATCCTCGGTATCCAGGGGTAAGGCTCACTTCATCCTCGATATCCAGAGGTTACGCTCACTTCGTCCTTGATATCCAGGTGTTACGCTCACTTCATCCTTGATATCCAGAGGTTAGGCTCACTTCATCCTTGATATCCAGAGGTTACGCTTACTTCATCCTTGATATCCAGGGGTTACGCTCACTTCATCCTCGATATCTAGAGGTTACACTCACTTCATCCTCAATATCCAGGGGTTAAGCTCACTTTCGCTCTTTGCACCCCTGAAATATGTCATATCAAAATTGGAGGCATGAAGATAGCTGTTTGATTGGTCTCGGGTAAAATAAAAATGACCAATCGCTAGGCTGATATCTGTCCTTTGAAGATTACAAAGGAGAGACGCCCAACTTCAAAACCAGAAAGTTTTTACCGTTAGGTGACCGCGAGATTCTTTTGATGTACATCAAAGGATCAAACTTGTCTTCTTGTATCACCAACAAGATGCTGCACACTACTGAGCCTTCGATTTTGCTATGACATATTCCAGGGGTGTAGAGCGCGAAAGTGAGCGTAACCCTGGATATCGAGGATGTGGATATCATGGGTCATATAAACAACTGCAGAGGTGTAAAAACAATCCAGGTACTAGCTATATAGCCGAGGCGTTCAGTGTTCCCATAAACACCCAAACGAGGGGTTTTCACCCCAAAACAGTTGGTTGTACCCCCAGTTTTCCAGGATTGCCATTATGTAACTAGATATCTAGGTGTACGGAATCTTGAAACTGTATCAAGTATACCCCCAGATCTAACATTCATTGGGAACACTGAGGGTTGCACTAATAATAGACTACTAACCTGAAATAAAATTCTGCTAGCTCATGATAAAAATTTATACTGAAATTTTGACAAAAATAGTTGACAAATCATGATCTTCGTCATATTAATAAATAGCTGTCTGTTTTCTTTTAAAATAGACAACTTCAGTCAACATATTTGCTCAAAATACTGATTGTCGTAACCCTTTTACCACTGTAGAACATAATAGAATCATCCCGATCAATGTATGGTAGAGTTTATTAAAGTTACATAGGGGTGAAAGGGTTAAAAAGTCACAAACCCTGGACTGATACATATGCCTTTATATTAACTTTCACAAGCCTAAGCTAAAACTTCACCCTGCTTCCTTGTTCCGTCATTCGTCTGTCCGTCATTCTGTCCGTCTTTAAACAATTCATGCAGTCACAGAGTGGTATACTCTTTACACAACAGCTGATTATCAGGTTCCAAGGAACTTTGGCTGAGGTCCCTTTGTAACAGTACACTTGAGAGATGAACCAATCACCTTTTTCAACAATGAGACATGTCAAATGTAAAAAATTGGAACTCTTTTTCATTGGAGATCTAGATAAAACACAAATCCCTAGTGACTCTAAACTATCTTAAATAAATACTGTATAGCGGGAAATTTTCGCTGCAGTTTGATTTTCGCCATTTTCACCCTCCATGAAGAGGGGGAATTTGTTCAAGTTTGGTAAATAAAAGTACTTATTTAAAGAGACAGAAATTAAGGGCCACATCTACATTATAACTTCTCCCCCCTAATATTATTAAGCATGCTAGTGCTGTGCCCATCCTGAACGTCCGTTGAAAATGAAACATATCAGCATAAAAAAGTTCTGGGGAGAACCCTGAAGGTGTTTTTGGACAGCTAGCATGCAGAAATGAAAGCCTCTGTATGTGACAAACAAAAATTCCTTTCTATGAATGAACACTGGTATGACAATGTTTAAGCATGTCAAATATTTATTTGTTTGTTGCATGCAGAGGCTTTCAAAATTTGAAAAGTGTTAAGTTATGTTAATTTCCTTCAAAATGACAAAGTTTCCACCAAATAGCACACAACAGACGATATTCACACATTTTATTATGAAAATGCGGGTTTATGTCTCTCTTTGTAATGCCATATCTCCTAAACTATTTGTCGAATGAAATTGAAATTTCACATTTGCATACTTCATTTGTTCCGGATTACGAATTATGACAACTTATTCTAAATCCCTGTGATGAGGCCAGAAATGGCCCTTAACGCCCCTAGTCCTTTCCCGGTATATTCCTTATCTTCTATGACAGTGTTTGTTGTTACAACAAAAGGGGTTGAACTTTCTGCTCCAACCGTTGACGAGGTTGTTACTCTCTGCTGAATGACACGTATATATATATTGATTAGGGTTGCATGGTGCAGTGTGTCTAGTCGCTACATGATGTCAAGGCCAGCCTAGTTTAATATTGATCCGAGCTCTTTGCTACACAATTGGGTGTATATATATATATACATTATATATCTATGAGGGAAGAGCTACAATACCTTATTCGCATGATACAAGATAGCTAGTAGGGAAAATCCTGGAAGAAGAGAACTTTCGGCCCAAAAAATGAAAAATGAAATGAAAAGAAAATGGGAATTAGGAGGTCATTGTTACACAATGGGGTGTATATGTATATATATATTATGTATCTATAAGTGAATAGCTGTAATACTTCATTCGCGTGATACAAGATAGGTAGTAGGGAAAAACTTTTGGCCAAAAACAAATGAAAAATTGAATGAAAAGAAAATGGGAATTAGTAGTTTTTTGTTACACGATGTGGGCAACTTGTTACTGATAAACCTCCGGGCCGAATAGTCTGATAATTCGAACACACCTTTGAACACTAAAAGAATAATTTTCTGTTTTACCTGCATATTGTACTTGTACTTGCATAGCTAATGTATACATATCAGTCCTTCATTTTATTTGTTACTAAAATAGCATACAGTACAGCAAGCTAAGATTAAACACTTAACCCTTTCACCCCTATGTAACTTCAGTAGACTCTACCATGCATTGATATGGATGAATCCATTATGGTCTACAGTGGTGAAAGGGTTAATGCAAATCCATGGTTAAGGATCATTGTCTCACTGCAAGCAAAACACTAGAGAATTCCACTACAGGGCCCATAACCCATTCATGAAACCATTTTTATGCTCAAGCATGAATTCTGTGCTCTAACCAACTTTCTTGTAACTTGCTTAAATCATGTCAAACAATCGTAAAGTCAAATGTAAACATAGAAAACCGTTTTTGGCTTGAAGTCTTTTCAATTTTTTCCCGTATCATTGACAAAATTAGATTTTATTATTAATTCATAAAAGATACAAGAAATTAGGCTTGAGCACCAAATCCATGCTTGAGCATGAGGTCCAGGCTCCGGGATCATGAAACAATCTTAGACTTAAGTTTTTGCTTAAGTTTTTGCTTAGCCAATCACGTACGACATCACTTTTCATGACGTTATTAGTGATTGGCTAAGACAAAGATTATGCCAGTTTTAGACTTAAGAACGCTTTATGATCCTGGGGCCAGATCTTCTAAATTACATTTCAATATATGTTTAACTGTGCCTGTTTATTTTCACAGGTGATGCAGACGGAACGGATGTTATACCTTGTAACAGAATACGCTAGTGGAGGGGAAATATTTGGTGAGCCCGTCAACCTGTTCCAAGTCATCAGCTCTGCTGAAATGGATCATTGAGCCCTTCTGATTCCGATTATCAATTATAAATTCCATATTGTTTATATTAGTGTCTCAATGTAAAGGATAAATTTTGAGGATTTCGTTTTTTTTGTTTGGATGATATAACTCCTTCCTATAGGTTTCAGTGCTGGAATTTTTTTTATACATGGTTTCTTTTTCAAAGTTTTAAAAGACAATGGGCAAATTATGTTTCAAAACATGACTAATGTTATATCCAGGTATCTCTGTATTTGAAACATTTTCGTTTCTTTTTTTTTTAAAGATCACCTAGTCGCACATGGTCGAATGAATGAAAAGGAGGCGAGACGAAAATTTAAACAAATTGTGGCTGCAGTATCGTACTGCCATAGTCGCTGTGTCGTACACCGAGACTTGAAAGCCGAAAATCTCCTTCTCGACGCCAACCTTAACATCAAAATAGCAGGTAAATAACTCCTCATTCACCTGCCTGTTGTCTAGAAAATAACATTTGTGGCAAGTAGTAATGGGCTGGTGATCGATTATAATTGAAAATTGATCAGTTTGCCCTTTCCGATACTGATTATCGATTACAAACTCCATAAACAATGTAATCGATGTTTTCCATGTTAAGGATGCTTTGAAAGTCATAGATTGTTATGGTTTATACTGTATGATTGTTAAAAATGCATAAAAGTTGCTTGATATGGTGTTAGTGGGTGACAGTCTCCTTCTAAACACCAATCTCATCATCAAATTAGCAGGTACATCTAGATCTCTAACCTGCCATCTCTCTATAGTGTTAGTAGGTGACAGTCTCCTCCTGAACACCAATCTCATCATCAAAATAGCAGGTCATCTAGATCTCTAACCTGCCATCTATCTATAGTGTTAGTGGGTGACAGTCTCATCCGATCCTGAACACCAATCTCATCATCAAAATAGCAGGTCATCTAGATCTCTAACCTGCCATCTATCTATGGTGTTAGTGGGTGACAGTCTCCTTCTAAACACCAATCTCATCATCAAAATAGCAGGTCATCTAGATCTCTAACTTGCCATCTCTCCATAGTGTTAGTGGGTGACAGTCTCCTCCTGAACGCCAATCTCATCATCAAAATAGCAGGTCATCCAAATCTCTAACCTGCCATCTCTCTATAGTGTTAGTGGGTGGCAGTCTCCTCCTGAACACCAATCTCATCATCAAAGTAGCAGGTCATCTAGATCTCTAACCTGCCCTCTATCTATGGTGTTAGTGGGTGACAGTCTCCTTCTAAACACCAATCTCATCATCAAAATAGCAGGGACATCTAGATCTCCAGCCTGCCATTTCTCTATGGTGTTAGTGGGTGACAGTCTCCTTCTAAACACCAATCTCATGATCAAAATAGCAGGTCATCTAGATCTCTAACCCGCCATCTATCTATGGTGTTAGTGGGTGACAGTCTCCTCCTAAACACGAATCTCATCATCAAAATAGCAGGTACATCTAGATCTCAGCCTGCCATCTCTCTATAGTGTTAGTGGGGGACAGTCTCCTCCTAAACACCAATCTCATCATCATAATAGCAGGTCATCTAGATCTCTACCCTGCCATCTCTCTATAGTGTTAGTGGGTGACTGTCTCCTCCTAAACACCAATCTCATCATCGAAATAGCAGGTCATCTAGATCTCTAACTTGCCATCTCTCCATAGTGTTAGTGGGTGACAGTCTCCTCCTAACACCTAACCTGCCATCTCTCTATAGTGTTAGTGGGTGAGAGTCTCCTCCTAAACACCAATCTCATCATCAAAATAGCAGGTACATCTAGATCTCAGCCTGCCATCTCTCTATAGTGTTAGTGGGTGACAGTCTCCTCCTAAACACCAATCTCATCATCAAAATAGCAGGTACATCTAGATCTCCAGCCTGCCATTTCTCTATGGTGTTAGTGGGTGACAGTCTCCTCCTAAACACCAATCTCATCATCATAATATCCGGTACATGTCTCCTATTCGACCACCACCTGAAGTCTGCGGGGTGGACATCTCCTTGATGCCATTCTTAACATTTAACGCTTTCACCCCTGTAGACCATAGTGGACTCATCCAGATCGATGCATGGTAGAGTCTACTAAAGTTACATAGGGTTGAAAGGGTTAAAAGCAGGTACATTTGTTTCTGATCACTTCGATAACCAAGGTTGTGTTTTGAAATAAGTTCTATTGGAAAATTAAAACTGTGATTAGAAATAGTGAAACGATCAAACTAAAAGCCAGGACATTTTCCCCAAAGTTAACCCTTTCACCCCTATGTAACTTAAGTAAACTCTACCATGCATTGATCTGGACGAGTCCAGTATGATCCACAGTGGTGAAAAGGTTAAGGATGTTTCCCTTTTGAATGCTGAAAGACATAAGTTCTGGTTCTTCTGGTTATTCCAATAATTTCTTGTCCAAGCTATACATTTTAAACTGTTAAGATATGATTATACAACCTGCATCACCCAAAGAGGATGTGCATTGCACTGTCATTATTTAGGTCACTGTGACCTAGATGTTAAGACCAAAGGTCTGATAGGTGAAATCTAAACTGTATGTATTAAGTGCAATTTTTTTAGGTACCAGTTGTCTTGGCTGTAGCTTTTAAACCATTGAAGATATCATGCAGAAACTTGCAGTATACCTGCATCCCCCACAGATGATAGGGAGTGGCTGCATTAGGTCATTGTGACCGTGACCTCAAGGTCAAAGGTCTGATTGGTAAAATCCTTTCAGTTGTACGTATGTTTTAAACTATTAGGGTGCTATGACCTTCTATGTCTTGACTTTTAAACTGCATTATTTCATGTATTTATTTTGTAATTTAGTGGTAGGCAGTTTGTCTAATGAGGTAAATATATTGTAGATACACAGTAATATGACTTTGTTCACGCCATGTGATTTTTTGCGACAGAAAGGGAGAGAATATTTGCTAATAAGGGGAGACATTAGGGTGGCCATTTTCTCCCTCCGTAATTAGGGTGAATTTATCATAACATTGAAAATTGGTATACAATTCACTACTCATGGTAATTATTAAAACATGTGAACGATATAAAGTTAACACTGGGTGGTCGAGTGGCACATCACCAAGGCGGCCGGGGTTTGATTCCTGGATCGAACATGAAAAGGTATGGGGTCACCTTCCCGGTAACGTGGGTTTTCTCCGGGTACTCCGGTTTCCTCCCACATTTAAAGACCACTGCACGCTGACATCTGGACCAACAACAGTGACTTATATAAGTTGAAATAACTTGTTTAATAATTGTTGTAAAATAAATAAAGTTTATATATATATAACACTGGGTGAATCAATTTACCAGTAAATTAAGTAATATTAGAGATTAACATGGGGCTGATATCGGTTTTTGTAAGGGTTTCTCAATATGTTCAGTTGTTTTGATGTAGAACCATACAACTATGGTAATTTAAGGAGGTGCCAGGTTTTTGGTGGTGAAGGAAACCGGAGTTCCCTGAGAAAAACCACCAACCTACGGCCAGTACCTGGCGACTGCCCCACGTAGGTTTCGAACCCGCAAGCCAGTGGTGCAGGACTAGTGGTAGCAGAATGTCAGATGCCTTAACCCATGACCCCTCTTTAGTTTAGCCATTTCTCAAGCCAAGGTTGATTTAAATCATGTTGCAAAAAACAATAGATTGAGGATTTAATAATTATTTTTCAGATTTTGGGTTCAGTAATTACTTCAAGCCAGGGTCTTGTTTGAAAACCTGGTGTGGGAGTCCACCTTATGCGGCACCAGAACTATTCGAAGGGAAGGAATATGATGCCCCAAAAGTTGATATATGGGTAAGTATTGTACATGTATGTATGTATAAGCTTTTATATATTTGGTGACCTGTGCACTGAAATATTGTGGAAATACCAGCAACATATCTTGTCATTTCTGTTAAACTGAAACATCCTTCCTAAAAAATTGGGACACATTATTTTTAATATCCTCAATAAGATTCATCTGTTGAGAAATAATTAATATTGAAGTTTTACTGTTACACAAACAATGTGCAGCCTATTTGATACATCGTGTGTACACTCTCCACAATAAGCAAAACATCCCGGGTCGAGTGACAATATAGGAATTATGCAATTTCGTCACATGGTTGTACAGGTAAACAATACAAATCACTCACTCAGTCATACCTTGACAAAGCGAGCAGTCAGTCTTGAAAGGTTGTGACACTTTCAGTATGTAAAAAAAGGTAAACATTTGATATCACATTATTTTCTTGCTCATAAATCTATTCTATATATTATTTGCTAGAAAATGGGGAATAAAAAACAGACTTCGTTTTCAATTTTTCAAAAAAAAATATAAATATTAATGATTGGTTGTTAGGGACTGTCACAACAATTTTATGTTTAGATCCTTCCGAATTTTTGGACCTGCGTTTCGTTTTCAGAGTCTGGGTGTGGTGCTTTACGTGTTAGTTTGTGGTGCTTTACCTTTCGATGGAAACACACTACAGAGTCTGCGAGGACGGGTGCTAAGAGGGAAATTTGGAGTCCCGTTTTACATGACTACAGGTAAGAAGGACTATGTCCCTTGTAAGAAGGACTATGTCCCTTATAAGAAGGACTATGTCCCTTGTAAGAAGGACTATGTCCCTTGTAAGAAGGACTATGTCCCTTCAGGTAAAATTAACTTTTTCTCATTTATATGAATCATTTCTGCATGTAGACAATTTTTCCCTCATTGACCAGAATTGTCGCCATTTCTGCACGTAAACAAATTTTTCCATTTGATATCTGAATTGGCTTCATTTTCCACTGTTTTCACACTGATGTATTTCTCTGTCTCTACTGGTAACTTTGCTTAATATGGCTTCTGTCTGTTTGCCAAATTTTAGCAAAGCAAATACCTTGGTAGCTAAAATGTCCCCCGTTTTCAGATTGTCAGCAGGAAATACCTCCCTTTCTGAGGAAAAAATAGCATTTTTCCAGAGAAAGACCTTGCAAAAATAGCTTCGTTAATTATTCCGTCTTTGCGTTTTGCAGAGTTATCTTCTCTTGGGAGCAGGGATTGATTGTTACGTCATTGGTTTGTGGGAGAAAATTACGTCGTTTTCTCAAAAATTGATGACGTTACTCTCACAAACAAGTGACGTAACAATCAATACATGCTCCCAAGAGAAGGTAACTCTGCAATACGCAAAGACGGAATAAGTGTCTGGCTAAATCTGTCTTAACACTGCTACTAACTATCCCCCCTCCCCCAACCGATTCCCAACCCAAACCCCCTCCTCACTTTCCAACTTTTAACACCACATGTACTTTAAGATTTTCTCCTTTTGTAAACGTGTTTCGTGATTTCTCTAGATCTCTAGACCGGTTTCAGCTGTATGTGACTGGCTGTTTGCAATTGTCATACATTCCATGTCTGATGTATCATTTGAAGTTATTGATACACTAAAACGGCTTATTTAGGTTAAATATAAACAAATATTTATTAACACACAGTGAACTGTTGACATGTGGAACGACCTCCCACCGATTATATTTTTGTACGTCATGTCTGGTAAACAGTTTGAGTGCCAAAAACATGAACATCGGAAGCATCAACTGTTGAAATATTGTTTTAAAGAAAAGACTGAGCCGCGAACCAAAAGGTTATGATTAGGGACGGGTGTTGCTGAGAGACAGAGCCAATAATTGGAAATAGGTGAAGTATTATATGTAATAAAAGAAAAAATCCATGGTTGCATGCATTATTAGCTCACCTAGTCCGAAGGCAATTTGTCTATATTGCTTTAAGCGACTTCTTCTCTGGAACAAAGTGATGGATATCAACCATATTGGACTGGAAGCATCCCTAGGTGGTGGGGATTCAAAATTGTACAAATGGTGGGGCCGAGGGGCGGGGCCAAAAAGGGTTATTTGGCTATGTTGCTTTAAGCAACTTCTTCTCTGAAACTAAGTGATCGATATTAACCATATTTGACTGGAAACATCCCTTGGTGGTCGGGATTCAAAATTGTACAAATGGTGGGGCTGACCCCCTAGGGTGCTGAGGGGCGGGACCAAAAAGGGTTATTTGGCTATATTGCTTTAAGTGACTTCTTCTCTGGAACTTAGTGATGGAATTCAACCATATTTGACTGAAAGCATCCCTGAGGTGGTGGTGATTTAAAATTGTACAAATGGTGGGGCTGACTCCCCAGGGTGCTGAGGGGCGGAGCCAAAAGGGGGGCAATTTGGCTATATTGCTACAAACGACTTCTTCTGTAGAACTGTGCACTGGATATTCATCATATTTGATCAAAAGCATTCATGGGAAGCAGGGATTAAAAATTGTACAACTGGTGCGGCTGACCCTCAAGGGGGCTGAGGGGCGGGGGCCAAAAAGGGTTATTTGGCTATATTGCTTGAAGCGACTTCTCTGGAACTAAGTGATGGATATCAAGCATATTGAACTGGAAGCATCTCTAGGTGGTGGGGATTCAAAATTGTACAAATGGTGTGGCTGACCCCCCAGGGGGCTGAGGGGCGGGACCAAAAAGGGTTATTTGGCTATATTGCTTTAAGTGACTTCTTCTCTGGGACTTAGTGATGGAATTCAACCATATTTGACTGAAAGCATCCCTGAGGTGGTGGTGATTTAAAATTGTACAAATGGTGGGGCTGACTCCCCAGGGTGCTGAGGGGCGGGGCCAAAAGGGGGGCAATTTGGCTATAATGCTATAAACGACTTCTTCTGTAGAACTATGCCATGGATATCAATCATAATTGGTCAGAAGCATTCCTGAGAGGCAGGGATTCAAAATTGTACAAATGGTGTGGCTAACCCCCCGGGCTAAGGAGTGGGGTCAAAACATTTTTATTACTTGGTTGAAATCCCCATATATACAATTGCTGAGTATAAAGAGAAGTATGCACATTTGCTTCCAGGATGGCCCTGGGGTCTTGCCCCACCCTTGGAGACATAGTCCCTGGGCCATAACTTTAAAACGTTTGAGATCCCCATCCCATAACTATGTATACAAATGCAGGGCATAAAGAGACAAATGCAGTCATGATATTAGAATAGACCCTGGGGTCTGACTGAACCCCTACAGACCTAGTTTCTTAGTCACAGCTTGGAAACAGTTGAGATCCCCATCCTATAACCATATATACAATTGCTGAGTATAAAGAGATAATTGCACATATGCTTCCTGGATGGCCTTGGGGACTGCCCCACCCTTGGAGACTTAAACCCTGGGTCATAACTTCAAAATGGTTTAGATCCCCACCCCAAAACTATATATACAATTGTTGGGCATGAAGAGACGATTGCAGTCATGATATTAGAATTGACCCCATGGTCTGCCCCACCCTTGCAGACTTAACCCCTGGTTCATAACTTAGAAACGGTGGAGATCCCTACCCCAAAACTATAAATACAAATGATGGCCAAAATGAGATGAATGCAGTCATGATATTAGAATTGATCCTGGGGTCTGGTCACAACCCTAAGGACCTAGTTTCTGAGTCACAGCTTGGAAACAGTTGAGATCCCCACCCCATAACCATACATACAATTGCTGGGCATGAAAAATCTAATACAGATATGCTACATATTCCCTTGGATCTCATTTGGAGAACATTTTGTCATAATTGCTTAGATATCCAGGTGTGCGATACAGGCCCTCTGGGCCTCTTGTTATCTGTGAGCGATACAGGCCATCTGTGCCTCTTTTTTAAAATGTGCCTGTAATATTAAAGGGGTAAAACTAGTGATGGGATGATGATGGTTTATTATCGAAGATCGATCGGTTTGTCCTTTCCAATTGCGATTATCGATTATAAATTCCATAATCGATATAATGGGCATGGGTTCATCATTGAATCAAAGTATTTCAAATTCTTCAAAGTAAGCTTTGAAAGTCATATATTGTTATGATTTATACTACATGATTTATAAAAATGCATAAAAGTTGTGAAATAGCCATTCATTATAAAAGGACCAAACCTAATGTATAGTTAACAACTCTGTCTATTGATGTAATAGTTAGTGTTCTCATGCATGCAGTCCAATAAAAATTATAAACCCGTTAAGCAATCAATCAACGATTGGTTTACTGCTTCCGATTACAAACCAATTATCGATTAGGATTTTAAACCGGCTGCCCATCACTAGTTAAAACCTGACAGACCTAAAAACGTTACTTCCATCCTTGAAAGTCCTTGTCAAGGCTCAACATCAAATCACTAGGTCCATCCTAATTTCATCATCTATTCTGGTCTAACCTGTCCAACTGTTTTAAACGCGATACATGAAATCAGCCTAGAGATGTTCGTGGTCGAAGTGTCAAATCTAGGTCAGCACGTCTGCCTGGTTTCACACTTATACACAGGTGTGAAGCTAGCTGTTAGGTGTTTGGTGTCTATTGCATGCGGCCAACAGCTTATCATCAGACCAATGTTTTTATCATGTTTACACTTTATTACTATCAATAAGAAGACAACAGGAATAAATCCTGTTGCCATAATCCGTCGCATCAATTGTATTTGAACAATTAATAATCCAATGCCTCGTAATAAGCACACCAATATTTATTGCAGGTCACAAACCAACACAACCTAGCCTAACACCCCCCTCCCCCCCCCTCCCCNTTACGGATTGTTACCATGAGACACCAACATTGGGCGTTGTGGTGAGCTTGCAGTAGAAACAAACCAGCACTGCATTCCCCCCATTGAACGTTAAACGGATATTTGAGGAAGTTTTCAGTATATTTTCAAATTCAATGTTTGGCAATCTAGTACCTTCATAACCTAGATTGAATCAGTTTGGTGTTAGTTAACCCTTTTGCCCCGATTTTACTTCAGTAGACTCTACCATGCATTGATCTGGATGTGTCCATTAAGGTCTATAGTAGTGAAAGGGTTAAACATACAAATGTATTGGACGAGCAGTGCTCCTGTTTACCAGATTGGTGAATTGAAGAAAATGTGTCATAGAAAAAATTGTTAATAGACCTGATTCTACTATATACATTTTAAATTAATTTTTAATTTTATTAAAAAAAAAAAAAAAAAAAAAAAAGCATGTCACATATATGGGAATACTAAAGATAAAGAGAAATATTTAATATAAGTTTCAGTACCAGCCAATCCAGCACCTTCTTCAGGTGAATACAACCAACTCTGATTCCCCACTTTAATTGATTTGTGCAGTTTTACACTGAAACAATTTTGAATTACCGTATTTGATCACAATGAAGCCCTCTCTTGAAAAATAAGCCCTGTTACCTTCTTTTAGAAAGTTTCCAGGAATAGAATCTTAACAACATCTCGTCTTCTTTTTCCTTTTTATAAATTTGTTTAAAGCAGCATTACAATAAGGCCTATATTGGGATACGAGCCAAAAGATATGTCATGTTGAATGCTTGTAAGCAAAAGGATGCAAACAAAATTGTCCCCCTTCCAATATTTGGTTTTTCTTTTTTCACTCCGGAGAGGGGCTTTTTTGCAGTCAAATATGGTAAATAACTTTGGTTAACATTTGCTTTAATTAAGTCTATGATTGTCAAATACTTTTTTTTTTCAAATTTTATGTAATTTTTTCTGTTGTATCTAGATATTTTATAATATATTAATTGGTTCCATATAGAACATTTTTGCACTTTTGTCATTGAAACTTGCATGATTTATCACAGAAATGTGTGTGCAATTGTTTGACTGAACCTTGCTCAGTGTGTCACATGCATAATTTAGTTTGTTTAGTTTGTCACCGTAATGTGTATATCAATAAGGTTCGTCATTGAAAAGAAACCATATTAAATTTATGACATAATGTACTGTGTTATCCAGTGAATATACCCATGTCATATTTTCTTTTGGATTGACATAGGTTGGTTTAGTTCAGAATGCACTTTCAGTGGTGAATGAGTTAAACATATTAAAATTAGACAATTTTCCTTATTTGATATCCTATATCATCCTTTGATCCTTACAAATTCCCGGGTTCCGGTCCCTTGGGCTGATATTCCGTCTTTTCGTATTGCAGAGTTATCTGCTCTTGTGAGCAGGTATTGATTTTTACGTCATTTGTTTGTGAGAGTAACGTCATAAATTTTTGAGAAAACAACGTAATTTTCTCACACAAACTAATGACGTAACAATTAATACCTGCTCACAAGAACAGATAACTCTGCAATACAAAAAGACGGAATGGAGGCCCGGGGGTTGGTAGGGGGTCTGATATAGAAATGGTCATATGATAACCTATCAGAAACAAGACACATCTCTAGATGCAGGTATAAGTAGTATTGGGAATTGGTTGGTATATATATACACATGGAGGGACATATTTGTTCCGAATAAAACGTATAAAGGACTATACCTTAGGTTCGTAAGGGCAGGTGTCTTGGCTTAAGTTTAGTGCTGAAGAAATAAAGCTGAAGATTTTTCCGATTAAAAGATTATGGAAAGTTGAACTTGATCAATCTAAACTTGGTCTAAAATTGATCTATAACAGAATATTTGATTTATTGTCCCATCACTAGATATTAGATGAGGCTTTATCAAAGAATATTGAATTTATGTTTATACAAAGATTACTTAATTTGAATGATGTAAAGTCAAATCTAGTTTCTGCCTACTGCCAGAACATCCATAGCTACATTATATATAATTACCATAGTTCAGTCATGTCTGTTTTATTGTGTTCCAGAATGCGAAAATCTGATAAAGCAGATGTTGACGGTGGACGCTAGTAAACGAATAACGATGAAAAAGATTATACAGCATCGGTGGATGAAGAGTGGAGAAGAAGATCCTGCTTTCGAGGAACAAATTAACGAGTACAATCGACCGACGGATGTGGACCCAGACTTGGAGAACCTCAATGAACAGATAATATCCCATATGGAATACTTAGAGATTGATATTGATCGAGCTGTTAGGGTAGGACATCTAATAAACATTGGTTGGTTTACTGGCAATGTCGTCTTTTAAGAATACATGCAAGAGATCTTAATTACGTTCGTGTCCATGTCATATTAAATTTATAAAACAAGTTTAATGAATTCATTATGACATGGACACGAATGTAAAATTGTATTTATCAAAAAATATTCATAATTTGGGGGAAAAAAAACCCCGAAAAAACGATTATGTGTTATCAGCTTACTGTATATAAGTCAAAATCAAAGTACTCTGATCATAGCACCTATTGTCGTTTCGCGCATTGCAAAGTAGGTGCAGATTTTTTAAAATATATTTAGCATTTTTAAATGCAATGAAAACAATAGGTTTAGGTATTATTATGTGTATAATGGTATTAATGACAAGGCAATAAGGGTCAGTCATGTGATAAACATAGTTGTTGTAAATTGCAAATTGTTCACAATTAAAACCAGTCCTGGTTGGACGGAATGAGGAGGAGGTGATAATTGAATGGTGTTAATTTATTTCAGTCTGTTCGTGAACAATGCTACGACTTCCATAGTGCCATTTACCACCTGCTGTTGGATAAATTAAAGAAACACCCGAAGACAATGATGAGTAAACTGCCGACCCTGGGTCCTCCCAATCTGCCGCTTGCCGTACGGACGGAACGTAGATCTAGTATAACTACTGGTGTTGGTGAGAACAACCAAAAATATTTTTCAAATTCAAAGGTTTTGGTTACAGTTCCAAAGATCGTGTTGATGCTGGATAAATCAAATCAGACTTAAGAAATATAGGTATTTGAGGCTGGAATCCAGAAAATTGATAATAAAACGATTAATGTATTTCTATTTTATTTTTCTCCCACTGTGTGTTTTAGCTCTCATTACCTTTTTGAACATTGAAAAATAAATGAATATTAGCCCTTTCAACACTGTAGACCATAATGGACTCATCCAGATCAATTAATGGTAGAGTTTATTAAAGTTACATAGGGGTGAAAGGGTTAGGGAGTCTCCAGTTATGCCACTAGCAATGTTCAAACTTTATGGTAGAACCCGGTCATAGACAATCCCCATGGAAAAACTTGGTCTATGGGAATCATTTACTTCATAGACCAAAATGTCTAGGAAGTTATTTTCTATGATGTGTATAATTCAATGGTAGGTGGGTGGTCGGGTGGCACAGTGGATAGTGCACTTGCCTTTCACCAAGGCGGCTGGGGTTCGTTTGCCCGATTTGACGTGAAAAGGTATGAGGTCACCTGCCTTACTGCATTGGTTTCCTTCGGGTGCTCAGGTTTCCTCCCACGATAAGACCCTCCATGCACTAACATCTGGGCCAACAAGAGTGATTAATATAAGATTAAATAATTTATTTCATAATTGTTGTTAAAAAAAAAGTTTATCATCGTAGGTATAGTAGTGAGAGAAAGACTTGTCCTCCTTTATTGTCACACGTATTTTCTTTATTTCATATTCCTTCTTTGCATATTGCAGAGTTATCTGCTCTTGTGAGCAGGTATTGATTGTTACGCCATTTGTTTGTGAGAGTAATGTCATCAATTTTTGAGAAAACGACGTAATTTTCTCACACAAACCATTGACGTAACAATCAATACCTGCTCACAAGAGAAGATAACTCTGCAATACGCAAAGACAGAATAAGTGAACCCTAAATATATAACTAAAATTTTCCTGTTTTGGTCTGGTCAACAAAAATTTCAATAGCATACTTGCCAACTCTCCCCATTTTGGAGGGAGACTCCAGATTATGGACCTCCAAATGTAGCATTTTCAACAAGTGAATATGCTTTACTATTCCCAATTTCCATGATCTGATGATTTCATCTGAAAGAACAGCTCAAAAGATGCCATTTAAAAGTGTTATTTTTTCCCTAGGATTTTGACAGTGAAGGTTTGTTATCGCTATTTCTCAGGAATAACTGGTGGGATCTTTCTAAAATTTTATATGTAGGTTCCCCTTCGTCCCTCGTTGTGCATGTTTACCGGCTGCCATCTTCAATTTTTGACATTGAAGGTTTGTTATCGCTATTTCTCCAAATTTAATATGTAGGTTCCCCATGATCCCTTGTTGTGCATGTTATATTTTGAGACTGATCATAAAAACAAAATGGCCCAAGAAAGAACTAAACAGATCTTTCTCATATTGCAATGACCTCAAGGTGTATTTACTGATAACATGACTCGATCAAAAAGATTAGAGAAAAGAAGAGAAAAGATCGAACTGACAAAGTACTAATGAAGATGGTACAATGGTGGGTGCCAAATTCCCTCTGGTATCTCTGGTTTACATTCACCGACATATCATACTTGCCATCTTTTTGAGATTTCCATGGGGGAGATTCTGCATGCTCAAAATTATAGCATAAATGAAATCTGTATATACCCCCTAGAGACAAAAAAACGCTTTAAAATAACATATTTTGAGTTGTTCTTTAAGGTGAAATTATAAGATCTTAGAATTTAGGAATTGTTGAGCTAATTCACTGGTTGAAAATGCTAAATTTAAGGGTCCGAAATCGGGAGTCTCCCTCCTAAGTAGAGAGAGTTGGTAAGTATGGCAAAATCTCCTATTGAAGTTTACTATTGACATAGAATTTCATTGAAATGTCTAAGGAGTGTACAATTTCACTAACCTGACAACTGGGGTTAGTAGATTTTATATCACAGCTAGTGAAAATAGTTTTCAGTATATGCTAAGAAACTATAGCTCAGCTTGTAGAATATTGCAAAATTTTCAGTAGGATTGGTATACTACATGAAATATTAAATTGTACGCTCCTGTGACACCATTGAGGGAAAGTGGATTAAATTTTGAAATTGTATTGGTTTTTCAGTGGAAAGAGTAGAAATACCAGTAGAGGTTGCCAAGGAAACGGAGCCCAAGCTACCTGCTGCCACGGCAACCATTGGTGCTATTCCACAAGTACAGTTTTTTAATGAAAATAACCAATTAACAGAGGTTTGTTGTACTAACATGGTTTACTTTTATTTTTCAATACCGTAAATCATTCAATTTTTGTGAGCACTGATTTTCATGATTGTCCTCTCCCATCAACATATTCACGTGGATTTGAACTTGTAAAAGAAACAACAGTTCTAAATGTTCCTTGGGTTTTTTTGTGGCGGGAAAAATATTCATGTATAAAAATGATAATTATCGGAAGAAAAAATGTACATGATACCAAGGTATTTTTCTTTAATTATTAAAGTTTTTAAATTTATTTAATTTATTATATTTCATGGTGAGTTAACATAAAGAACCTTTTTGTGCATGTGGAAATAAGATATACTGTTCAGATAATATTCATTGTCCGGTAATGAAGTGGCTACCATTATTTTCTCTGTAACTCCGGAGGGCTTTCTTCCACCACAAAACCTAGCACATCCTTCAATGACAATAGCTGTTAAAAGGGCGTAAAACGCGAACAAACCAAACTAGACATGCTACGTATACAGTTATAGGTATTTAACTACTCTGGTGTGGTATTTTAAATTACAAAAGACTTGCACACATCAGGGCATTTGTTTAGTTAAACTATGTCCTGTTGGATTAAATTGACTCTTTTATTACCCGAATCACAGCTCAATAGCAGTGAATTTTCTACCTCTTCAACAGGAGCTTGTGTCCAGTGATTTTTTGGGAAAATATTGCATACTAAAAGTACAATTTGGGGAAAATAAAGTGACTTGTATTGCATTTATGGATAGATTGGCCAAAGGTTAAAACTCTGGCTTTCCATGCACATGGAATATGGAACAACCCAGGTGGAATATAAAAGGGTCGGAGAAGGGGAGTTGCAATATATGTGCTGTAGCATTCAAGTGAGGTGGCACTATAAATGATACCATTGGAAGCACGGTCCCACTTCAAACAGCACAATACATCTCCAGCATACACACAGGCATACACACAAGGAGAGATATTAGTCAGGTGGCATAGGACTAAAAGTTAGCGACTGATAAGGCAGCCCCTGCAAATTCCTCAAAATTGCATTAATTAGTGTATTATTTAATGTATGTATTGACTGTGTACATTGTATAAATTGTATATCTATGTACTGTAAAGCACTTAAGAGTGGCCTATTCTAGCTAGATAGAGCGCTATTTCAATTGTTGTATATTGATTCATTTTATTTATTTTCGAATAGTACAAGTATAGCAGAATTACTCAGTGGAAGTGGCCTTATAATTGGCCAAAGTTCACCTTTAAAAAATCTCTTAAAGAGATCTTTGACCTTATAGCAAGGTTAAATTGACAATGGGTTTATGTACCACCTCTAACAGATTCTTCAAATAATTAAAATAATATGTTGTCAGTATCCCCTCTTTCATTTCCAGCCTGATGAGGGCAGTCAACATTCAGACTCGGACAGTGAGGAACCGTGTCCAGAAGCACTCGCCCGTTACCTAGCGATGCGACGGCATACCGTAGGTGTCGGAGACAGTCGTCACGAGGTGCCAGAAGATGTACGCGTCAAACTTGCCAACAATCAGCCAATCATTGCCCTCCCACAGCCAAACTATCTCCTGCCTCTGTTGTCCCACACAGTGCCTCAGATGCAGAGTGAGGTCCCTGCTTATCCAACCAGTGAACAGCATTTTCTTCAGCCACCCATAATGTGGGGCCCAGGTAAGGGGGTTTTGAAGTATTTATTTATTATGAATAGTTCAATATTTTGTATGCCCCTGCCATAAAATGGGGGAGGAGGGTGGGGGGGGGGGCATAATATAGTGTTGCCCATGTCCGCCGCGGCCTGTCCTGTCAAACATCAAACATGAAACTAATTTCCCATGGTGACGGAGGCATTCATGTCACACAGGCATTTTCTAGTTTTAAATGTTTTTGGGAGAGGGCCTAGCAAGTGTAAGAACTTGTGCCCAATCCCTTTGACTATTCAGTGTCAATAAAATATGTTTGAATGAAATGAATTTACAAGGTAAATCACAGCGATCACATGGCATGGCCTTTGTCTGTTTACGTTTTATGATTGGATGCTAGCTTATGAACAAACGATCACACAAAGCTCAATCTTGGTACTATGAAGGGGTTTGGTGATTAATTGAGGGAAACATATGAAGGAATTCTGAGATAATTTACAGTAAAACCTTGTAATACTGCCAAGTTTTGTCCAGAGAAATTTTGCTGTTATAAATGGGTTTGGCGATAAATTGAGGGAAACATATGAAGAAATTCTGAGAAAATGATAGCAGTAAAACTTTGTTATACTGTCACCGTCTTCTAGAAAAAAGTTTACATTATAAATGGGTTTGGCGATAAATCGAGGGAAACATCAAGAATTTTTTTAAAAAAAGAGTGAGAAAAATGGACGATAAAACACATTGGCAGGTAAGTGAGGTGGCAAAGGAAATTAGGGGCATAATATCGAGGTTTTACTATTTTGTAATTTTTGAAAAGAATTAAAGGAAGAATTCACGGAAAATTCTTATCATGATCACCTGTCTTCTTTCCAGATGTTGGTGGTTGTTTCGGTAACATAAGCAGGCGAGCGTCTGATGGTGGGGCCAACATCCAGCTGTTTGCACGACAAATGTATGGAGGGAGTCTACCGGGCAGTCCAGGAAGTCAGGAGTGTCTAGCAGGGGTATGAAACCTTTTCTCTTACCCTGGACAGGTGTACATTCCCAGTGTGAGATGATTATCTTTTACCCTGGACAGGTGTACTCACACATTCCCAGTGTGAGGTTATTATCTCTTACCCTGGACAGGGGTACTCACACATTCCCAGTGTGAGGTTATGATCTCTTACCCTGGACAGGGGTACTCACACATTCCTAGTGTGAGACGATTATCTCTTACCCTGGACAGGAGTACATTTCCAGTGTGAGGTTATTATCTTTTACCCCAGACAGTAGTACTCACACATTCCCAGTGTGAGATTATTATCTCAACCTGAGGGGGGAGATTCTCATGTTGCCAAACACGAGGCTTTGTCAAAAGTTGAGATTCCTATTCTCACCACAAGGGGGGGGGGGGGGGGGGGGGTCTTTTTCTTTTTCTCCTTCCCTGTTCACCCATTGTGTATATCATATACATACATAATGTTATGTTAACGTTACATGTTAAATACAGGGTTGACGTGACGATTATGCATTGTTGATGTGAAGCCATGCAATTGTTATGAATAGGGGCCTAGGGTGAGACTAATAAAATTAAAATGTACCCTACCTTGAGGGTGTGACAGAGAAATCTCCTACCAGAGGGGTGATAATGATGTAATGATGAATTCGTCCTCATCACTGAGAACCGAAAAAGGCAAAAAATTAAAGGGAAGCAAAAATTTCCTGATATACAGTGTATATAAATGACGGTCAAGAAAGTTCAGAGAAAAAAATCTTTTACCCCCCCCCATTGGGGATATGATAGTGGAATCTCATCCCAAAGACACAGATTCATAACATCTGCAAGACTCGTGCATATATGTTTGGCAATTTAAGAATCTTCTCCCCATGGGTTGAGGTTCCCTTATCTCTGTTTTCTTTACTGATTTGCATTACATGACTCCCTTTGAAATCTAATTGTGACGTCATATTTTATTTTTCCTGTATATTTCATATGTTATGATGTCACAGCATTGTACTATTTATTACACCCCTAAGGGTTGACAGAAAAATCCAAAGGCATGGCTTGAATGGTAGTAGAAAATCAGAGTGATATTCCCATCGTTTAATACTACATTGAGTCCAGCTTTCATCTGTTTTCATTTGGAACTCTTCTGTTTTACTGTCATCCCTGCCCAGTTTTTTTCTGTTTTCATTTGGAACCCCTCTGTTTTACAGTCGCCCTTGTCACCAGTAGGATCTGATTCCATTTGGAACCCCTCTGTTTTACTGTCATCCCTGCCCAGTTTTGATCTGTTTTCATTTGGAACCCCTCTGTTTTACAGTCGCCCTTGTCACCAGTAGGAATGCCCTTGACACCCATTCAGGGGTCAGTAACAGTGGAGGAGAATGAGGATGGGGGATCAGATCAGGAGCCAGATACGGAAGCAGTACAGAGGTATGTCCTGAGAAATTAAAACAGAATAAGATACTTCTTGTTTGTGTTTTACGTCCTATGGTCATTTAAGGACGTGCCAGGTTTTGGTGGTGGAGGAAAGCCGGAGTTCCGGAGAAAAAAACACCGACCTACGGACAGTGCCTGGTGACTGCCCAGCGTAGGTCTCGAACCTGCGACTCAGTGGTGGAGGGCCAGTTGTAGCTTGTAAATTCCCTACAGCTGACGCTTGTAAGGCAACCTAATCATTGCACATTCTTTACACATTGATGTAATTCCCGTTGATTTATCTCCCCTTGCAGATATCTGGCCGCCAGAGGGCGCAACAAGCGACACACATTGGCAATGTCCAACCCCATGCATGAGATTCCTGAAGAGCTGCAACGTAAATTATCTCTACAGCCAATCAGATCTGGCCGTAGGAATCACTTCCCCGGAGGTGGATCACTAAGTATGTACTGCCGTGTCCTTTGGACATGATTATATACAAAACTGTATACTTGCCAACTTTTGGAAATTTCCATGGCGGAGATTCTGTACTCCCAAATTTCAAACCAGAATAAAATGTGTGTAGATACCCCTAGAGCCAAAGTAACCCTTTGAAATGACATATTGTGAGTTGTTCTTTCAAATGAAATCATTAGGTCTTGAAATATAGGAATAGTTTAGCAAATTCACTGGTTGAAAATGTTAGATTTAAGGGTCCAAAATTGGGAGTCTCCCTATTAAATAGGGAGGGTTTTCAAGTATGAAACTGTATACTGTCAAACTTAAATGTTTCAAACTTTGCAGGAATATCTGAAAATATTTGAAACGTCAGGGACTTTGACTCACGAATACCATTACAAATTCAGATCCTGTAAATAAGATAGAATGTGATTTTTTAAACATGTGAGCAAACATTTAATTATTTTAATTGTAAAAATTGGATTTTTATGCCCCCGCCATAGAATGGGGGGCATATAGTGTTGCCCATGTCCGTCCCGTCTTGTCCTGTCCCGTTACGTTCCGTCCCGTCCTTATTCAATGTAAACACGACTATTTATAGGACATCAAACACTGAAACTAATTTCACATGGTGACAGGGCATTCATGTCTTAGACATTTTCTAGTTTTATCAAATTCATAATTTTTTGTCAAATAAATATTCAAATCTTGTACTGTTAAAATAACCATGGGGCGTTTCCCTGTCTAGTACAGGTGAATATTTCACTTTGTTTTAATTTTCAACTTTCATGATGAATGGGCCTTGATGATACTTCGAAACAGCGAGAAATTCGACTTATAAAAGATTGATTCATGAAAGGAATATTAGTAGTGTTATACAAGGGGAAAATTCTGGACTTTGCAGTAAGTTTGACACGTCGAGAAGTTCGGATCATCGAAGTTTGATTGTATTATACAGTCAAGCAGAAATGTTACTTTGGAAATAATAATCATGTCACCATTGTAAAAATACTAGCCGCTTCCTACACCGTCTCTGCTAGGGAGAATTTCTCTTTAGCTCATTTGGTAGAGCGTTAGACTTGTAGGTAGGGGCCCTGGATTCCACCCCTAGTGGAGGCATGGAGAATATAATGACCTGTGTTACATTGGTGTCCAGGAAGGGACCTTGGAAATACTGACAAAAAATGCTCAGTGATTCTTTCACAAGAATCGCTATGTAAAATTAGTAAAATAAGTAAAATACAAGCTACTTCCTACTGACTCAGCTAGGGAAAATTTCTCTTTAGATCATTCGGCAGAGCGTTAGACTTGTAGGTAGGGGCCCTGGATTCCACCCCTAGTGGAGGCATGGAGAATATAATGACCTGTGTTACATTGGTGTCCAGGTAGGGACCTTGGAAATACTGACAAAAAATGCTCAGTGATTCTTTCACAAGAATCGCTATGTAAAATTAGTAAAACACAAGCTACTTCCTACCGACTCAGCTAGGGAAAATTTCTCTTTAGATCATTCGGAAGAGCATAAGATCCATGAAATACTGATGAAAATGCTCGGTGTTTCTTTCTCAGGAATCGCTCTATAAATTCAGAACAAGTTCTTTCCTTGAGGGGGAGTGTGTCGCCCTGGTAAAATGTTAGCTGCTTCCTACCGACTAGTCTAGGGAGAATTTCTCTCTTGCTCATACAGCATAAGACTAGTGAGCCAGGGGTCCCCTGTTTGACTCTTAGCGGAGGCTTAATAAATAATTACCTCTTTTGCAATTAACTCATTCACCCCTGAACACACATTTAAACTCTTCCAAATCAAAAGTTGGAAAAGTTAATTATGAAATTTCAGGGGTGAATGAGTTAAAGAAAAAAAACTTTATGTACATATCAGGCAGAAATATTAATTTTGAAGGAGTTAAACTATAGAATAACGAGCAGAAATCTCTGTTAACCCTTTGACCACTGTAGAACATAATGGACTTATCCATATCAATGCATGGTAGAGTTTACTAAAGTTACATTGGGGTGAACGGGTTGAAGTATCAGTTTCTTTCTTCTCTTTCATTTACTCTTTCTAGCATTAGGGCCCTCACACATACCTTGACATGATCTTAAGCTTGATGAAAGTGGTCAGTATTATGTAGATCAGGAAATGTTGCTGTTGGAATTATTTTATAAAACAAACCTTTTAGTACAAATGTTGAAATTGTCCTTGCAATGGTAGATGAATAAGTCAAAAACAGGTTTTTTTGTGGGGTTTTTTGTACGTTTATATTTTTTCTTGGAGAATCCGAAAGATCTACAATCCTTGTGAAGCACCTAGAGAGGGGAATTTTCAAACTTGTTTTTATTTTCATTTCAACAGATTTTATTGACCATATATATGTCAATTGGATTGGACATCAGGCTATGCCTATTTAAGTCCTTTCCGAACTTATTTACAAACATTACATATATTCTGTCATAACAATCCAATTAAACAGTGCAGGGGAGATCACTCCAATTTAGCTTGTGAAACTTGTGTATTTATAGATTATCACACATGGAATCGCCAGTGTTTATATTTCACACACCCTCACTTACTACCTTAGTGTGGTAGGCAGGAGATCAGGATTTGTGAGTTGTGTTCAGAATGCGATTTTTGTAAAATTTAAACTCTTCAAACATAAATGTTATACTGTGTTCATATAAAACGGGGAAGTGTAGAAGTAGGTATGAACTCAACACTACTGTTTCAATTTTTCAAAATTTCAGCACCGAACTCCTTCCGTGACGTGAACTCCTTACACCTACCTAACGAGAGATTCTCACCTGTCCGTCGTGCCAGTGATGGCCTTCCCAACCTACACAAACATCAATCTCACCTGGAAAAGTTGTACAATCAGACCCTGAGCACTCGCCACAGTCACTCCAGTCTGAAACAGCTGCATCAAGAATGTCAGGAATTACAGGTAGGTACAGGTAACACTTAAATGATGCCTGATATAATTGATTAAATTACTGTACAATGGCTAATATCTATAGGTGAAACAGGGACTACAGGTAAGTAGAGGTAGCTAATAATATAGAACAAAATTGTATACAATTGCTAATAGCTACAGGTGAAACAGGGACTACAGGTAAGTATAGGTAGCTAATAATAAAGAACAAAATTGTATACAATGGCTAATAGCTACAGGTGAAACAGGGACTACAGGTAAGTATAGGTAGCTAATAATATAGAACAGATCATATACAGTCGAACCTTGTTATCTCAAAGTTGACGGGGTCATGGAAAAACTTCGAGTTATTAGAGTATTCCAGTTATGCGGGTTCATAAATTTGGTGTGAAATTTGCTGTTTGGACATAGCACTAGCAGTTGTCGATCAAAACGGCTGGATCATATTATGAATTAATTATTCAAGTCAAAACTACAGGTGATGTGAGAAATACAAAAAAATACAGGTGTACAAGATCTACAGGTGAGATAAGAAATCTAGTTGAGACAAGACCTTACAGGTGAGACAGAGCTAAGTGTGAGACACTATCTACAAGTGAGATAAGAAGTACAGGTGTGACTTGAATTATAGGTGTACAAGAACTACAGGTGAGATGAGAGCTATATGTGAGACAATAAACTACAGGGGAAGCACAAACTACAGGTGAGTCGATCGCTATATATGAGATAATACACTACAGGTGAAGCACAAACTACAGGTGAGTCGAGAGCTATATGTGAGACAAGAACTATATGTGAAGCACAAACTACAGGTGAATCGAGAGCTATATGTGAGACAAGAACTATATGTGAAGCATAAACTACAGGTGAGATGAGAGCTATATGTGAGACAATAAACTACAGGTGAGTCGAGAGCTATATCATTATGTGAGACAAGAACTATATGTGAAGCACAAACTACATGGAGTCGAGAGCTATATGTGAGACAAGAACTGTATGTGAAGCACAAACTACAGGTGAGTTGAGAGCTATATGTGAGACAAGAACTATATGTGAAGCACAAACTACAGGTGAGTCAAGAGCTATATGTGAAGCACAAACTACAGGGAGTTGAGAGCTATATGTGAGACAAGAACTATATGTGAAGCACAAACTACAGGTGAATCGAGAGCTATATGTGAGATAAGAACTATATGTGAAGTACAAACTACAGGTGAGTTGAGCGCTATATACGAGATAAAACACTATATGTGAAGCACAAACTACAGGTGAGTCGAGAGCTGTATGTGAGATAAGAACTATATGTGAAGCACAAACTACAGGTGAGTCAAGAGCTATATGTGAGACAAGAACTATATGTGAAGCACAAACTACAGGTGAGTCGAGAGCTATATGTGAGATAAGAACTATATGTGAAGCACAAACTACAGGTGAGTTGATCGCTATATATGAGACAATAAACTACAGGTGAACCACAAACTACAGGTGAATCGAGAGCTATATGTGAGACAAGAACTATATGTGAAGCACAAACTACAGGTGAGTCGAGAGCTATATGTGAGACAATAAACTACATGTGAAACAAGAACTACAGGTTAGGCAAGAAGCCAGAAACAAAACTACAGGTGTGTGACAAGAATTACAGGTGATGAGACAAAAAAATACCTGTGAGGGAAGAACTACAGGTGATATAATGACTATAGGTGAACCAGGAACAACAGGTGAGAAATATCTACAGGTAAATACATGGAACACTGGAACTTAATGTGCGAAATATTCAGTGATGTTTTGAAATTGTGGCTAGACAGAATCATTGTTTAATATAATTCTCCCTGTGTAAGTCATGACCTTTATCGTTCCAGAAGCAAGTTTGCAATAGAGATCATGGCAACGAGGCAGAACTACAACAGCAACACGCCCTACACCGGTTACATCACACATTACAGGTAAGGCCCACCTGGTAACAGGTGTACATCTCAGGTAGATAGTTACAATTACCCTTAATGCCATAAATCATCGACTTTTCGTGTCACTTTGGTTTAGTCATAACAACAGGTGTAATTGTTTGTATATCGTGCAAGTCTGTGGATTTAGACCTATATTTTCCAGCATTTGAAATTGTACATTACAAACTGATGAATGCTGCATGATGCACTATATATTTACTTTCATCTTTTCTTATAGCAAATATTATTTTGCTAGCTTTTCAAGACCAACTGCAGTTTATTGATGAGGCAATCACATTGTGTTGGTTCTCTCAGAATCAAACTTTGCACTGTTATTAAAGGACACTGCCAAATTGCCCCCCTTTGCTTACATCTTCTATATTTATCTTTTTGCTGACACCCATCTCAATATCTCTCATTGTTGTGACACCTATATATATATTATCTCCCTTTGCTAGCACTATTCTTCGTTACCTCCCTTTGCTTTGACACTTTAGTGTTACCTCCCTTTGCTGTGATACTTCAGTATCTCTATTTGCTCTGACACTCCCACATATGTCCGTTTGCTGTGGCACATCAATATTATCTCCCCCTAAGGATATCTCCCTTTGCTGTGACATTTTGTATGTTTTCTCCCTCTACTAACACTCCCCTATAATCTCCCTTTGCTGTGACTCTTCCCCATTATTGCTCTTTGCTGTGATATTTTGGTGTTATCTCCCTCTACTAACACTCCCCTATAATCTCCCTTTGCTGTGACTCTTCCCCATTATTACTCTTTGCTGTGATATTTTGGTGTTATCTCCCTCTACTAACACTCCCCTGTAATCTCCCTTTGCTGTGACTCTTCCCCATTATTACTCTTTGCTGTGATATTTTGGTGTTATCTCCCTTTTCTATTGCTTACATTATCTCTCTTTGCTAATACACATATAACTATAGGGCCGTTTTTGTTTCAACGGTAAAACCGGTCAGACCCCAGTTGTTTGTTTATTAAATAAGTTCGGACCTAGTAATCTGATGCTGCTTTTAGGCAAACTTGACAAAGCCTTGCAAGGCCTGCATAAACATTTGCAGATTTGTCAGGATTTATACCCGAAGTTGTTACATTTATAAACAGTCAAACCGGTTCTTCCGTATAAACGAACAGGCCCTAAATAACCTCTTTTGATTCATTCATTACATCCCTTCCTGCATTACTCTTCAATTACCTCCCTTTTCTGAGTCTCTTCTAGATTACATCCTTGTGTGCAAAACTCCTTGATTAATCATAGGACCTCCTGCTGCAAAAGTCCTGGATTACTTCCCTTTGCTGTATTACACCTCTTTTACCTCCTTTTACTGCAATTATCAAAAGAAGCATCCCTTTGTAGTATTTTATTCCAGTATTGTTTGCTAGATTATGAATTCAGATGTATACTATACTATATATCTACAAATATATACTCTTTAATCTTTTGCCATCTTTTAGTAATATAAAAAATTAAATATATATATATATATTTCACCGCGATGTTAAGGCCAAAATTAATCATGTGTCATTATATAATTAACTGACAGACTTACAAAAACACACCTTACTCATACACATTTGTTGATGATTTCTATTCAAATTTATCTTTTTACTGAAACACATTTAATGTTTGTATAAAATATGTCAAATAAGTAATATATATATATTTATGAATCGAGCAGATCAATTATAACACATGCATAACTAGAAAAATCTTTTAGTATAATAAGGATTTTTTTTTAAAAACTGAAATTATTCTGAATGCAATTTAAAGCAAAACATTTCCCGAAGCTGAAATTTGGAAAATTAAAATAAGATTGAAAATCATTTGTTACACTTTGATTTTATTTAGAGCCAGTAACAGGTCTGTGTAGGTATGACCTACATTTGTTATGTTAAAAAAACACGTCGGTCAATACTACACATGAGCTTCATGGCGTAAAACCTCAAATGAGCTTTGTGTTTTATGTTGGTGAAAGCTTTCTATAAGCTTTATGTCAGTGGTGTTGGTAAAAGGCTGCTAAGAGCTTTGTTGTTGATAGAAAGTGCTCGTAATGAGCTTTTGTTTGAAATTTCAGTAAAAACCATTGATAAACCATTGTTGATGTCAGTTGAACATTATAGGAGGTTTTGTTGGTTTCAGTCCAATGCTAGAATGAGCTCTGTAGTCCTTCATGCTTTTAAAACCTTGAGATTTCAGTGTCTTTAGTTTTAAGTCTCTTAAAACCTCTTATAAATTTCATAACTGTCATTTTAGCAGCATGTATATTGTGATTTAAAAAAAAAAAAAAAAGGCTTCATGACTTCCTTGTAGGTAAAAGCTGTATTTTGTTTAAATTGGAAATTTTCTTGCAAAAAATATTTTTTTTCACTTGTGCAAATAATTCACAGAAGCTTTATACTTTCCTTGCAGATAAAAAGTATTGTATCTACAGGGTTAAAGTGTCATTTAGTTAACCCGGTGATGATAGAATGGAACAGAATCAATTTTGTTAGTTACGACATCCTACAAAGTCACTAGCCCCGGGCTAGTTTGCCTCCAAATTTCACTAGCCCAAGCTGAAAATCTGGTAGCCCCTGGCGTCAGGCTAGTGGATTTGTACACCCCTGCTTGTTGCCTCAAAGATTTTAGTCACAACTAAATTATATACTCTCCTTCATTACCTCAGTTCTGTCTAATATTTTTTATCCTTTTAATGTTGCAACAAGCCTTTGAGTTTATGGGATAGTGTGTTTTCCTTCTATCCATCCTGTCTGAACTTTTTTTAACTCATTCACGCCTGAAATTTCATAATGAACTATTCCAACCTTGAATATGAAGAGTTCAAATGTGTCTTCAGGGGTGAATGAGAATGCGAAGAGTATTTGCCTGTAACTTGCTGAGATTTAGAGCTATCAGTTCTTGTTAAGATAAATTCCTTTAGCTAATTATAACTTTGGAGTTGCAGGGGTCATTTTGTTATGTTAATCTCACTTTGAGAGGCTTTCTTAAGATCTGTAAGGTTGAGTAATGATATCTTGGTCTCTATTGTTTAAGTTGAAGTTTTATTATGATTTATCTTGACCTGCTTTGTAAGTTAAATCACTTAAATCAAGTCAAACGATGAAAATGGTTAATTGGTAACATTGAAAACAGTATTTGGCATTTACCTAAACCTACGTCAATTAGGGGAACAACAACAAATAAATAAATTGTAAAACATTTTATTTATGAACTATTGCCTATGCCCTCTACTTGAGCTGCACACACATATCAATACATAATAACAACCAATTGGATGCATATTTACAAATAACCTAAAATTTATTTACAAAACCGTCCAGCAAAGAACTGACGCGAGGTGGCGTATATGCCACCTAGCAAGTAGTAAGTTAGAGTTGTTTCCCTTGACTACGCTTAAATCTATTCATTTTTTTCCAAATACTTGACAAAATCAGACTTTTTTTGACAATTTATAACCAGAACAAGAAACTGGACTTGAGCACAAAATCCATACTTGAGCATAAGATCGGTTTCATGAATATGGGCCCTGGTCCAAAGGACTATGGTGAGCTTATGATGTATGTAGGCGTCGTCCGTTCGACCGTCAACTTTTCCTTTAAAAGGCTACTTGTCCTGAATAGCTTTATGGATTTTGACTAAACTTGGCCTAGAGCGTTTCGGCAAAGGGGACTAAATTTTGTATAAACGGAAGGTGTAGCCCCTCTGGGTGCAGAGTTGCGGGGCCCAATAGGGGAATTTGAGGGTTAAATCTTTAAATCCTTCTTTTTCTGAACCATTGGAAGTGTTTAATGTAATAAGAATAATTTCCCATGGTTGTTTTATTAGCTCACCTGGCCCAAAGGGCCAAGTGAGCTTATGGCATGGTGCAGCCTCCGTCGTCCGTCGTCCGTCCGTCGTCCTGCGTCAATATTTTACTTTAAACAACTTCTTCTTAATAACCCCAAGGCCTAGGGTTATGATATTTGGCCAGAAGCAAACTGGGATGAAGGGCTACAAAGTTTGTTCAAATAAATGACCTTCACCCACCTATTTTCAAGGTCGCAAGGGTCAAATATGTTAAAAACTTGAAACAACTTCTTCTGAATAACCCCAAGGCCCAGGGTTATAATATTTGGCCAGTAGCATGCTGGGATAAAGGGCTACCAAATTTGTTTAAATCAATGGCCTTCATCCATTTTCAAGGTCACAGGGGTCAATTGTCTTAAAAACTCTTTATACAACTTCCTCTGAATAATTAAGAGGCCTAGGATAATAATACCTTTAAACAACTTCTTCTAAATAACTAAGAGACCTAGGGTTATGATATTTGGCAAGTAACATGCTGGGATGAAGGGGCTACCAAGTTTGTTCAAATGAATGACCTTAACTTATATCCAAGGTCACAGGGGTCATTTTTTTTTTTTAAACTGTTAAAATGAATGACCTTCACCCATTTTCAAGGTCACAGTGGTCATATGTTAAAATATTTTAATAGGTTCCTATGAATCAAACACTGATATTCTGCTTCTAGCTGTATTTTAGTCCACGTTTAAGATTACAAGTGTGAGATTAATACCAGGTGAGTGATTCAGGCCCATTGGGCCTCTTGTTATCAAAGTGAGTGATACAGGCCCTTTGGGCCTCTTGTTCATGGATAACATCACTGCGAACACAGATTTCTTTTCTCTTCCTCCTCAAAAACACGTCCAACTGCCTTTTTAATGGATCACATCACTCCGAACACAGATTTTCTTTTCTCTTCCTCCTCAAAAACATGTCCAACTGTCTTTTTAGTGGATCACATCACTCCGAACACCGATTTTCTTTTCTCTTCCTCCTCAAACAATGTTGAATACACATCAACTTTTATCTTTCTCTCCTCCTCAAAAACATGTCCAACTATATCTTTACATGGATCACATCACTCAGAACACAGATTTTCTTTTCTCTTCCTTCTCAAAACATATGAATACACATCAACTTTTATCTTTCTCTCTTTGAAAT